CGCGCCACCCCCCCCCCCGGGGCGCTGCGGGTGCTCCGCCTGCCACTGACGTTGCAAACCCTGGATCTCGGACACACGGGGACTTGTCCCTGCCTGCCCTGGCCGCTGGGCTGCGGGACTAGCTCCCTCTGGTTGTCTGCAGCCGGCAGGGAATCTGACACTCAAGTCCCCGCGGGGACTGCCTTATACTTGAATGTAACTCAGAGGAAAAGTGCAATCGTGCCTGGTCTAATTATAAGTGCTGTGTGTAGAATAAGATAAATATCAATATTTAAGATTTTTACTGTTTCCCATCGTTTTTGCATAATTGAAGAGTTATTTTTATACGGTTTTTTGCATAAGGGCATTGTATTCCCCTTGTTTTCCATAGCGTGAATGTAAAATCTTGGTGTTTAACTCTGAGTTTCTTATCTTGCATTCTGGACTGGTGACAGATGTAGAGAATGTATTTGCTATTCTCCATGGGTAACGTGTGAAATAAACACTATTACATAAAACAACACTGTTATGGTCCCTCTCTGGGAAAGGGGGACAAGATCAAAATTAGTTATTTCTTACCCTGTTCTCTCCTATAGTAACCAATTTGACAGGGCTGTGCAATAACAGGCTACCAGGCCATTAATCACGGGCAGTTTATAGCAGCCAATGTAGGACCAAAAGCTTCTAGCAAGTAAATGTAACCTACCCTTTAAAGTCTCGGAGCAGGGCTATTTAGAAGTCTCCAAGGCTTTTCCTGAGCCCGTGATTCAACCCAGGCTGAAATGTCTCACAGGCTCGATCGTGCGAGTTTATTTTTGCCATAATTAATCAGAGGAAACAATGCAAACTTCCAACATTGCACAACAAAGTAATAGATTTATTGAGGCATTCTGTTCCCAAAATGCTCATGGCAGTTTACAAGTTACTTATAGTGAAGGATTTTCTGGGCCACAGTTCAGGTTAAAGTTGCCGACTGGATCAATGTGGGCAGGACATCTTAGCATTACTTAAAAAAAAAAACCCAAACCAGAAAACAAATTCGAGATACTATGGAGTTTATTAACAGAGCTACAGCACCATCTAACGGTGTTGTTCATCACCAATGCGCCAAAGATCAGCTCAGGCTCAGAGTGAATGCTTTCAACCACCCACGTAGGTGGGGGTCCTCACCACTTCACATTTTTCATTGCATTTAGAACTTTTGTAGAGTTTATGGGAGGCATCGTTTTTCAAAGAGGGGGCGGGGAGGAAACAATTAGTTTCTTCTTAGCTGAGCTACCTCTGCAAAAGGTGGAAGTGACCCCCTCCACCTATTTGAACAAAAGTTGTAGCTGTGTGCATGAGTTGGTTGTGATTGAGGCACCCACAAGTTTTTATAGGCACATTTTATAGAGGCTTGAGTGTTAACCACTTTCCCCCAATTTTTTTCAACTAAGACTTCTATAGTCTAGAGCTATGGGGTTTTTATATAGTTAGGTTTCTGGTTGAGGTTTTTATTTTTACAAACTAGCACTTATATCTGTAACAAACAGGTGACAAGTAAAACCACAAGAAAGATTTATCCCTTTCCTGGTGCTGACATTTCTGATCTAGATTTGTGGAAAGCAACGATAGGATGGGTGAAAATAACATTTTCAAAAGCACATATGTAAAACATTGTCCTTTATATGTTGATCAGGCTTCCATTCCCCCCAGAAACATTGTCTCCTGCAAATTTCAGCAGGTGGCTGCCAACTGCAAATCCAGCAAGTAGCTACTGTAAAAATCATTACAGATATAAAGATCATGAAGTAAGTCTGGCTTCTGCAGTCAAACAAAAAGTAGTGTTATAGAGAAAGATACCCCAGGATTTCATCTTTTGTATGTCCAGACAGCGGAGCTATTTTGGAATACTGGAGGTATCCCAGAAGAGCTGTTCCACATTTTTAGTTCCATTCTGGGATTCCTTGTTTCATGAGGGTTAAAGGATGTCTTGAAATAGGCTATTTCAAAATAAGCTGCACAAATTGTGTAGCTTATTCCAAGATAAGGTTGCTGTCTAGACACACCCTGGCCCCACTGAAGTCATCTTAACTACTCATAGGGCACATCTACACAGCAGGGCTAAAACCCAAATTAGCTAAACAATTTGAGCTATGTCAATTGTGTAGCTGAAGTAGAAATAGCTTATTTCAGCTTTTGGCACTGTCTACACAGCAGGAAGTCCGAGAGAGCACTCTTCCTCCAACTTCCCTTACTGTTTGTAAAATGAGGGTTACAGAAGTCAGAAGTCCTCCCACTTGATATTATTTCCACATTATATTGATATAACTGTTTGTATTGTAGACACAGACTACGTTATTTTGGAGTAATGCCAGTTATCCTGAAATAATACTGCTGTCCATACAGATTCCAGAAGGGCTAGGACGCTGCCCATATTCTCCTTCTGTGGGACCAATGACTTATGGAAGGCACTTTCTGCAGTTACATAATTGTGCACCTGGGTGACTCCAAAAGTTGTAAGGTAAGGCTGAACCAGATGGCAGGTTTGATGTTTACTTTAGTGAATAAAAATCTAAAAAGCATGGCACAGTCCAGCTACTGTTTTTTTTTTCTGTATATTGCCAAAAATAATCCCTTGTTTAAAAGGGCATACTTTGTTTGGTTTTTTTCCACAGAGACATACCAAAGCTGAAACCTGCAACATTCATGGCTTACTTGGGGATGATTGAAGCCAGCAAACTGCTGCTGTGTGGGGTGGCACTATGTTGATCTCCTAAGAGTTTAAAAAATAGGCTTCAACTGAGAAGGATCAAGAGTGCCATCTGCTGCAGCAGAAGGGAGCAGCAAAGCCCTATAGCTGTAACAAGGATGGTCACACAGTACAGACTGAACAGGAATTAAAGTACAAATCTGTTTTTCCTCTATATTAGTTTTTGAAAAGAAGGGGGGGGGCATGTTATGTGCAAAGAGAAACGTTGCTGAGCCCTGAATGCCAGAAGATGATGGAACGACCCTTTGCTAGAGAACAGATGTTGTTATTTGGGTGTGAGGAAAAAGGGATGTATCCGAAAATGCCAAAGACATTTGAGGCAAAGACATTTACTATATGACTTTATTTAGAGTCTACCATCAGGGTTCATGAAATGATAGATGCATGTAGACACTACAGTCATATTCAGCATTAAAACTGAGTACTAAGATTGGCTCCCCACTTCCAGCCAGGGTAAATTTGCCTCAGACTTCTGAGGCAAATAGAGCTCTTCTGTAAGCCTCTTTAGGGCCATGAAACTAATTTTAGGGGATACAGGGAAGGAAACATGACATGTGAAGGGCAGCTATAGTCTGCCATACATATTAATAATAATTAAGTAGTAATAACAAAGGCTTAGAGTATTTCATTTTATGGGAGAGAATGGAGGGGCTGGAGATCCATTAACAAGCATTGTCTGCAGTTCCCACTTAATTACCCTCTCAGATGGAAAGGATGTTGGGTACCTGTGAGGCAATACGGAAATACTATGCTGCTCCCATCCGGGCAAAAGTCCCTTTTGTGCAAAATGGCCAGTGTAGACAGCTGAGATTTGTTTTGCGCAAAAGCGCCCCGATCGCAAAAATGGCAATCGGGGCTTTTTTGCGCAAAAGCGTGTCTAGATTGGCCACGGACGCTTTTCTGCAAAGGTGCTTTTGCGGAAAAGTGTCCATGACAATCTAGACGCTCTTTTCTGAAAATGCTTTTAATGGAAAACTTTTCCGTTAAAAGCATTTCTGGAAAATTATGCCAGTCTAGATGTAGCCACGGAGCGTCCACACCTCAAGTGCGTTTTTGTGCAAGTAAATTGACAGAACAGAGGGGGGTTTGTAGTGTAGGTATTTCTCCTTCTACAAGGAATAACTCCTTTTTGCGCAAAAGTTCATGTACAAAAAGGTGTGTGTGGACGGGCAACAGGGGGTTTTGTGCAAGAAATGGCCTCCGGGGGGGAGAGGGAGGGGAAAACATAGGTCATGTGCCAAGTCTCCCCTCTCCACAGTGTTCCAACAGTCCCATGGCGCTGCCCGCTGCGGCTCCGGTCCCCTCAGTCTCACCGTTTACAGCCTATGTTTGTGTCCACTCTCACACTTCTGCCATCTGGACTGATGGTCAAATGCCCTGTGGCTTAGCCCCTGGCGGGGTTTTCGAGTCACCTCAGCGATGGGCCCACCCTCTCTCCAAGCCCCAACCCAGGGCCCTAAGGCAGGGAGTTTTATCCCTGCACAGCGGCGGGGGCA